TTAGCACAGTTTAAACCTACCCTAAAATCACAGAATCACAGAATCACAGAATTTCTAGGTTGGAAGAGACATCAAGATCATCGAGTCCAACCTCTGACCTAACGCTAACAGTCCCCACTAAACCATATCCCTAAGCCCTACATCTAAACATCTTTTAAAGACTTCCAGGGATGGTGACTCCACCACTTCCCTGGGCAGCCTGTTCCAATGTCTAACAACCCTTTCGGTAAAGAAGTTCTTCCTAAGATCCAACCTAAAACTCCCCTGGTGCAACTTAAGCCCATTCCCCCTCGTCCTGTCACCAGGCATGTGGGAGAACAGGCCAACCCCCACCTCACTACAGCCTCCTTTAAGGTATCTGTAGAGAGCAATAAGGTCGCCCCTGAGCCTCCTTTTCTCCAGACTGAACAACCCCAGCTCCCTCAGCCACTCCTCGTAGGACTTGTTCTCCAGGCCCCTCACCAGCTTTGTTGCCCTTCTCTAGACTCTTTCGAGCACCTCGATGTCCTTCTTGTAGCGAGGGGCCCAAAACTGAACACAGTACTAGAGGTGCAGCCTCACCAGAGCCGAGTACAGGGGGACAATCACCTCCCTAGCCCTGCTGGTCACACTGTTTCTGATACAAGCCAGGATGCCGTTGGCCTTCTTGGCTACCTGAGCACACTGCTGGCTCATATTCAGCCGACTGTCCACCATCACTCCCAGGTCCTTCTCTGCCTGGCAGCTCTCCAACCACTCATCTCCCAGCCTGTAGCTCTGCTTGGGGTTATTGCGTCCCAGGTGCAGGACCCGGCACTTGGCCTTGTTGAACTTCATGCAGTTGACCTCAGCCCATCGGTGCAGCCTATCCAGATCCTCCTGCAGAGCCTTCCTACCCTCGAGCAGATCGACACATGCACCTAACTTGGTGTCATCTGCAAACTTACTGAGGGTGCACTCAATGCCTTCGTCCAGATCATTGATGAAGATATTAAAGAGGACTGGCCCCAGCACCAAGCCCTGGGGAACACCACTAGTGACCAGCCTCCAGCTGGACTTGACTCCATTTACCACGACTCTTTGGGCCCGGCTATCCAGCCAGTTTCTAACCCAATGAAGCGTGCACCAGTGCAAGCCAAGAGCAGCCAGTTTCTTGAGGAGAATGCTGTTCATGTCCAGTTTCTTGAGGAGAAATTCACAACAAAAAACACATCTTCAGTATTCCAAGGAAGATGAAGGACATTTTCATGCTCTAGACTCCTGAAATACCAGGAAATTTCACTAACCAATTGCAAAGTATCTGTTATTTTTACTGTAAACCACAGTGACAATCTGTCACTAAGTCACAGTGACTCTCTAAATAGTCTAATACTTAGAAAACAGTGTTTTCTACAGCACAAAACAGAAAATGAAACAAAATATTTGCATCTCTATTTGCATTCAGATATGGTAGAAAAATCACACTGAAAACTGAACAAAGGTATACTATAGGTTAATTCTAATTATACTATGATTCATGAATACCAATTTAGCAGTCTGGATAAGCAACAGAGTAGAAAATAGATGATAGTACAACTTCTGAAATAAGGACATCTATATGGTATTTTCAGTGTCTGACATTTCAGTTTACACCATTGGAAACCTCTTCTCACAAACGTTTCTCTTCCCCAAACTTCTGCTGCTATTCAGCTATTCCTTTTTTTTTTTTTTTTCCTCTCTCTCTCTCTGTGCTGCAAAAGGTAGAGACAGAAAAGAAAAGTATGTGCAGATTTAACACAGATGTAGTGATTTAAAACAGATTTGGTGTTTAAAAGATGGTGTTAAAAGATGATGATAAACATCCTGGAAGAAATGAAAACAATGGGGGAAAACAGAGTATTATGGGATAAGGATGAAAAGAGTGACAACGCAGAGTCATGAAGTGAGTGGAACAATAAACCTATGGGTACTTTCCCAAAGCATGGAAAAGAGAAGAAGGTGTGAAAGGGAGTCATAAGGGAGTCATAATCAAAATGAAGATTACTGAGGTGGGTAGAAGGCAGAATCTATTTGAATGAGAAGAAAGAAGCTTTGTTTAAACAGCAGAAAAGAGATATAACTGTAGGATCAAAGCTATCAACAAGGGGAAGAAAGAATGAGTGGATTGGGAAACTGGTTAAAAAATAAATAAAAATGAGAGAGGATCACAGATTTACAAAGGCAGAAGAATATTGGAACAAAAAGATCAAACAAGTGAAAAATGGGCAAGTTTGAAACTGTATGCATTCATTTTTCTGCCCAAACCTTGGTGAACTGAAAATATGCTACCGAGAATGGAACTGATAATAGAATTAATAAATCAGAGGTTATTGGTGCTAAGAAAGTAGGACTAAAAGGTCTGATGCCTTCCAGGTTCAGATAGGAGCCCTTGTACATGAAAGTAGGCATGCAGCCTACGTGCAGCCATGAGAGCTACAACATGGCAGAGCAACAGGGGTCTCTTTGCAAAGTTTATGGTTTACTCACATTCCCTCTTACATGTCTTTTCAGGGAATTATTAGCCTAGTGGCAGGAGTCTTGCTTTTTTGGTTTTGTTCATTTTTAAAATTGGTTGGAAACAGAAGTGTTGAGGTCAAAAGGCCAACTCCTGTTCTTACCCCGCCATCAAAATGGTTCCAAAGAATGTTTATCAATATGGTGATAGGTGTTAAAAAATATAAATATAAAAATAAATAAAAATAAAATATAAATATATGTAAAATATAAATGCAAATATAATTATAAACATAAATATAAAATATAACATAGGATATTTGGAGGTTTATGTATATAAAATAAATATGTTGGCTTTACTGACTAGACTATCCCAGCCAGTTTAGAAATGATACAGGAATGTGAAGCCATAAACCTGTGTTAAGCATCCAGGTTTAAAACTTCTCACCTCTGCTAGATGGGTAGCTCAGAACAGATAGTGTATAATGGAAATTTTCTTCTTTTATATACACTTCTCTACCCTGACACATTTTCAAATGAGTGTCAGACAGAACATAATCTCTGTATAAAATTCAAAGGCTGAAATTCTGTGTCCTAGTACCTAAAATGACCTATGTTACTTTAAGACTGACCTTGTGAGATGAATAGCCTCATAAAGAAAACAGGTCTTATCCTGGGGTGAAATGTGTATCAGACAGGTGAGACTTTCACTATATATGCACAGCTTTAATTTAGTAGGTAGTGCTATTATGCACCAAGAAAACAAATCAAACACAGATTATTGTTTTGGGGACAGTTTACCAATTAGCTCTGGCCTACAGCTACTCTTCTCTGTGGGGTTAGGTGCATATAGTAAAGAAGCACAGCTGAACTGTTAACAGTTTCTCATCCTTGTGACACATTTGGGGAATGACAGATAACCAGGAGGTGATAGTACCCCAGTTAATAACAACTAACTGGCTTTAGATGTCAAGAAAGACAGAGATTGGCCTGGGGTGTGACTGGTGGTGCCAACCACATAAGTTAGAAAGCAATAGTGAAGATGATGGCACTGTTGGGGGAAACATCCATGCCCAGAGTTCTGACATGGTACAGGAACCTCTGCCTTTGGAAGCATAACAATGCACAGGGATGGGCCATCACTTTATTATGACAATTTTAAAATTATAAAATGCTTCAGATTTCTGTGCTTTAAAGATATGCTTGCAAGAATAGTGTGTTTTACCACAGCAGTCTTCACAAGCCATTTCCATCACATCAGGGAATATATATTATTTGTTGCACCAAGATTAGTTACTTTTTACTGAGCTCAGCTAGCTTGATGTCAAGCATTTTGATGCATGTAACACCTATTTACAGAAGTACGTAGAAGTAACAAAATCAGCTTCAGTAGTAATTTCACAATAATTTTCCAAGCAAAATAAGAAGAAAAAAAAGTTACAAAGCTTGGTTGAAAGGTAATTTTTCACCAAAGTCTTTTAGAGAGAAAAGTTTCTTTTACATTAATAGTCTGCATGCAGAAGTGAGCGAAGTACAGAAAGAGAGGTTTTATTGTTACTGTTTTTTAATGCATAAACTGTGAAATTTGACTTCAGAGACATTTCAGATGACTCTCATATCCAGTGACTGCTATAAAAACCTTGAATAACAGTGACACAGTATTAACGATAACTCAAGACTATCATCTTTCAGGAAAATGTAGTGTGACCACAACTGGCTAATGTGTCTCAGAGGTGATTCTTTGTAGCTGCATGTCAAGAAAGATGAACAAAATAGTTTACTAGCATTATACCCAAATATTTATTGCAACATCCCAGTGTTTTTGTTGTTGTTGTTTTGTTTTGTTTTTGTTGTTGTTTGTTTTGTTTTGTTTCATTATCACAACCATCTGGCAGGAAAAAAAATAATATATATATATATGTAGGCCAGGAATTTAGAGGAAATATCTGGCATGTAATTATCTTGAATATTATGATCTTTACCTGGGTTAACAAGAGGCAAACTGTAAAATTAGGAAGAAAACACCATAGAGACTTAAGGCAGTCAGACATCTTTCTAGAAAGTCTTGAGCAATTAAAGGGAAAAAAAAAAAAAAAGAAGTCTTGCACAAAATATATGTTGCTATATTAGAAGGAATAAATAGACTTTGGAAAACAATAGAAAAGAAGAAAAACTGGTGACATCTGATTTATCAAGACTTTAACTGCTTGAACTGTTGTGGCTTTGGCTTCCTACATATGTCCTAGGCTACAAAGAAATGGCTTCTGAAGGAAGCCATTATCTTAATTTAGAGACACAGCTGTGTTAAGATGTTTCTTAAGGCTCTTAAGAAAATGAAAATATTGAATTGGGTTTTAAAAAAAGTCACATACTTTCCAGTTTGGATATTTATTAATTCCAACTGAAAAAAGTTGATCTGAAACATTTTATGAACATGAGGTTTCTCATATAAGTAAACAAATAAATAAAGAATAAATACTACTGCTCATAAAATCATTCCACATGCACAAAGAGAGCATACAGCAAGTAGAATATAAGCAACTCAATTTGTCCAAATATATATAGTAATTATAGACAGATGAAGGAGATATTCAGTGTAGCATGCAATAACCAAGGGTTGTGTTAGTATTCAGCATGATTTCCATACAGTGATAAAGGCATTGCCTAATAATAATGTAATAATTACAATAAAGTGAATGGCAAATGCCTGTATGTATCTTCAATCTATAATATTTTTCTCATTACTGAAAGCCTGCCAGAAATAACAACAACAAAAACAGTGAATAAAATATGCTGATTATAGTCCTGTTCTTCCTCTGCTAATATATCGAGTATCAAAGGGCAGTTTTGAGAATTTTGTATTAAAAACACATTTATTAGTACATGATTCTTCATAAACAGAATGACTATAGTACTTGGGAACACATACAGAGCCCAATGTTACCCACATGTCTGATGCTACCAAACCATGATTTGATTCAAAGATGGCAAGGATCTCAAGTTATTTGTATGATAATCTCTGGTGAATGATTTACACATATGCTTCTTTCAAAAAATACAATAAAAGATTAGTTAGCAATAAGAAATGAATGGATAAGAGCTTACATCATACAAAGGAATGGCAGATCCATGCTATTTTTCTTAACATATCCTAGTTAGTTTAGTGTGAAGAGATACAAGTTTGCCCTTCTTTACAAAAAAGCCCACTATTTAGAGCAAAATACTTCAAAAATTTAGTGAATCCAGAAAATAATTTTTCTAAATATGTCCAAAAGTTTTAAAGTAATTTTGATTTAAAGCACAATAACTGGACAATCCTGCCACTAACAAGAATAATGTGGTTTTGGGAAACAGAAGTGTGACAAAAGTTAAGGTTAATAACTTATTAATTAGGATTAGATCAGGAATGAGTAGACCTGTGTGTGCATTAGGGTTTAAGATTTATTTGAAGATAAAAGACACTAATCAGGAAAGAGTACATAATCATTTATCAGGAGCCAGTAGATCTGAAAAGATCTTCATCAAAGTTTTCATCTAGATTTACAGATACATACATATTTAAATGACAGCAAAGATAATACAAAGAGGGAGAGTTCATTAGTCAGTAGTTTTGTCTATTTTTTCTCCAATTTAAATTATTGATTAATGACTTGACCTCATGCAGTGGTTTAATCCTGGTAGGCGATGGAGCCCCCACACAGGTACTTGATTACTTCCCCTTAGTGGGATGAAGAATTGGAAAGGTAGAAGTTTATTAACTTGTGGACTGAGATAAAAACAGTTTACTAAGTAAAGTGAAAGCTGTGTGTGCAAGCAAAACGAAGTAAAGGAATTATTTCACTTCCCATCAGCAAGCAGATGCTCAAAGGTTTCCAGGAAAGCAGGGTTCAGTAGTGGTTACTTGGGAAGACAAACTCAATCATACCAAATGACCCTCCAGTTCCTCCTTCTTTCCTCCCCCTTTTATTGCTGAACAGAGCCTCATGTGGCGTGGGACATCCCTGGGTCAGCCTGTGTAACCTGTCCTAGCTGTGTCCTAGTGTGAGAAGTAGAAAAGTCCTGTGTAAGAATTGCTCTGCAACACCTAAAACATCAGTGTGTTATCAACAATATATTCCCATTACAAATCAAAAACACTGCACCATATCAACTACTGGGAATAAAATTAACTCTATCCCAGCCAAAGCCAGAATACCTCAACATTTTAATATATTCAGGATAAAGCTCAAATATTATGAGCAATGACTCCATTTGCTAAAATATTTTAATCTGCTTTCCATTCACATTTTGTGTTAGACGTAATATACAAATGCTGATATTAAATTATAATTTTAAAAAGATCTTGTGGATGAAGGAAGTCATAAAAATGATGCATATCCTTCATGTGCTTGTAGAGGTAAACCATTATGAAAGATTTATGCCTTGGTAAACAAAATACTTCAGCCTCCAGCACCACTAAAAACAGAACATATGGGTTCTTTATTAATTAATGAAGTAGAGCTTACAATCTCCAGCAACACAGTCATACATACACAAAATAATGTTGTTTATTCTGAAATTCTAATTACTTTAGAACCATAATTCAATTAGTATTATTGGTTCTCCAGCACTATGCTTGACATTAAGACAAGCTCTAAAAACTAGTAAATTTGAGTTAATCATTTGGTGCAATTGCTACTAATTATTTTCTGTGGCTGACCTTTGGGTTATTGCATTTTAAAATGGAACTCTCATGAAATTAAAAAGCAGAATACATCTATAATGTGCTATTTATTCTAATGTGTGTATTCATTGGGTGCAACCAATATGAAACTGCATCCACATCAAATATTTATTTTACAAATTCATATTAAAATATTATGTATTTCTGTACTGTAAATCCTCAGTATATACCAAAGCTAGTTTTTAACTTTTAATATGTCTTTGTTTTTCTTATTATTATCCATTATGGTTTCAATTATTTTTATTACAGTTGCATAGATATAGTTTGAATTAATTTCAGGCAATATAAGCTCAACATATTTTTCACTGAAAGATCTATTTTGTCAAGCCTACATAAGAACTTGGAGATAAGGAATCTTCACAGAACCACCAGAAGTGAAAGAAAAGATTGAAAGGCACTGAAAACTAACAGTGAATATTCTGGCCTACACCTACTCAGTCATGAATTTTAACTTTTCAGTAAGAAGCTGAAAAGGAAAGATTCTACTTCCTAAAGGAAGGCATCCCACCCTACAATACTTGATCTTCCACTTCCAAGCACAACATTATGATTTTTTTTCTATCCTAAATATTTTTTTCTCTCCTTTTTTTTTTTTCTTTTTATTTTTTTCCTTTTTATATGAATCTCTTGCTAATAATGACTTTCCTGGAAAATTTTCGAGAAAAATCCCTCAGTACAGAAACACTAAAATTAAAAGAGAAAACAAGAGAAAAACAAAACAAAACAAAAACAAAACAAGCAAACAAACAAAAACAAACAAACAAACAAAACAACAACAACAAAAAAAAACGCCACTTTGTTGGCAAGGATAATTTTTATGGAAGGAACAAAACTCTAGTCAATAGACAGACATGGATAGATAAATAAAACATTATTAACTTTCAAAAAACTAGTTTTTATGGCATTTTTTATGTATTACAATTATAATATAAGATTTAATTTTTTGTTATGAAAGAATTGGACATGCAGTTTTTGGAAATCTGTATTATTTCTGCCAGTGATGAAATTTGGCCCTGCATTGGTCTGAATTTTTTGTCTGTAAAAAAAGTAGGATTAGTGGAATCCCTATTAAAATGTGTTAAAATGTGTTTTTTAAATAAATGCAAATACATTTGCACTGTAGAGGCTACTAATTTTATCTTAACAAACTTTTAAGTAGTCTTAATGCTCTGGTATATCCAGAAATTATACCCAGATCAAATCAGAGAAAGAAATCATATCAAAAAAGCAACTTTTGTTTAGATGAGATTCATCATTTAAATGTGTCTGTGCTCTTGATGCAGATGTACTTAAGGTGTATTAGGATTACCATAAGTAAATTTAGCAAAATAGGCAAACTAAAGATACTGCTTATTATATGGATCTGTTGAACTGGCTTCAAGTAGATCTGGAAAGATATTTTTTTCAGTTAAACAGAGTTTCATGATAAAAAACACCAACTCGGAGACCGGAATTCTGAGTTTTTGTTATCACCAGTTCAGCAAATTTTTATCAATTTCGAAACAAATTGCAGATGATCTGGAGCAGCAGTTTTCCAGTACTCAATATTAGATGTCCCTACATCTCAGAGCACTGACATGGTGCTTCACACAATTTCTTTGAAATACTGTTTTAACAGCTACAAACTGAGACTGTGCATTTATCAAACTGGAGATGTGATACCACTGGGGCAACTACTGGAAAACAAGCATAGTATTTTTACAGCCTTAAAATCGTAGAAATCACAGGGCTTACTCTTTTTTTTTTTTAATTTCTTTTTTTTTTTTTCATTGAAATATCACTTACATAATTGAAATATAGTTTACTTAACAGCAAAATAAATAAATAAATAAATAAAAATAAAGCTAACAGCCAACAAAAATAATTTATACTCTCTATAATAGTTCTTGCAGAACAATAGGTGAGAGTGCTCGCTCCTCCTTTCAAAAATTTGTTTTCTTCAGTCAGCCTCTGAGAAGACAGCAATAGTAACAGCACCTGGAGCCATTCCAACCCCCCCCCCAAAAAAAAGCATTATTAAACTTAAACTTCTAAAAAAAACATCCATTCAGTGTCACAGCAACTGCTGGGGGCTGAGTTTCACAACTGAGTGGGTGGCTTCTATCTTGGCAGATGGGATTTCTGATGCTTTGTCACTTCTCTAGTCATTTGCTATAGTTACCTTCTTGAGGTAACTATAGGAACATACCAATGTACTAATCCAAAGAGAAAATAAAACTAAACATGCAGCCTAAAAGATTTCATCATAACTGTTTGTGTTGCTCATGGTAATACTCAACTACTCAATCAAAAAGAGGTCCCAGATTCCAGAAAATCTTATTTTTCTCATGAAACAGTAGTCTATGTTTTTTTGTTGTTGTTGTTTGTTTTGGTGTTTTTTGTTTGTTTGTTTGTTTTTTTAGTAGAGAGCTGAAAGTCTTTAAACAGAGAGAAAAATTTCACAAGAACATTCACTAGGCAGTCACAAAAAAAAAAAAAAAGTAACAGTAATTATCAAACGTCCTTCAAGGTACCAGTAAGTACAAACAGATTGAAAACATCAATGTTTAACCATTCACCTCTTCTTTGACTCTCAGTCAAGAATTTGCACTTATTCTGGTAAATTAAAATGTTAAAGCTCCTGCTTTGTCAATATACCTTAACTCTATACATTGTTTAGTTAAGGCTAGTCTGAGAAGATACAGGTGTTATACATCATTTATTCATTTAATTCACTTAATTTCTCTCTCTCTTTTTTTTTTTTTTTTTTTTTTTTTTTCTCCAAAAAACTTTTCAGGCCTGAGGTGCTTGAGTAAATGTCTCTCTCTTTTCAAAGCACACTTAGAAAGATGTACACACATAGGCTTTTTATATAGTTGTAAAAGTTTTTATTATTATTATTATTTTCTTTTTATTCTATTACCAAATAAAATTTTTAGTTCCAGTTCATAATGCAACACAGGTAACGGTGGAGAGAGATGGGAGGTCAGATTGTTACATCAACTCCAAGAAAATAATGAACCCAGCGTTTTAGAAAGTCACTTCTTTTTACTTCAGATTACAGCATCAAACTTCTTTTTCATGAAAAGATAAAATTTATATTCATCTTCCAATCATATAAAGCCTTCTTGAAATACAGATGTATGACCTTTATCATTACAACAAAGTGCTGCAAATACTGTCTTAATAGCTTCCCCATCTTCAAAATAATGATTTTAAAATGCTTCCTTTTTCAGGTTCTGCTGAAAGATCAAAATATCTCCTAAACCTGTTGTTTTGCACAGAAAATTTTGCTTGTGATAAACTATAATTGGGTTTTATTAAAACTTTTAAATCGGATCTAGAAAACCTTTTGCTCATCTATTCAATTGTCATCAAAAGAATAAAGTTAGGAATATACAGATACATATTTGCAAAATTTATAAATAGGCAGCAGGATTTACCTCATCAATGCAGCCTTATTTTGCAACTTTCAAAAAGGAAAAAGAAAGAATAAAAGGCAATACCCAAGTTATTTTATAATACATTTTCAGATGAATTCCAGGAAGTTCAGACTTTTCTTTAGTTCTTACATTATTAGAACACAATAAGTTAGAAAAGCTCAATACAAATTTCACAGGAGTCGCTCTTTATTAATGTCTCCTAAAAACACTAAGTGGATTAAAAAAGCATATGTTCCACAGAGCTAAAACTGCATTCCATAACGTATTTAGGTACTTCAAAGACAACACCAGACAAAGAAGTTTGATTCAATGTAGCATCAAATGTTTTTGACTTCACCACAAATGTTGCTTGAATGCTTCATAAGATGTTGTGTAACCTAACTCTTTAAAATGATCATATGTGCACATACATGTATGTGACTACTATATACGCAAATACATACATGGACAAATTAATGAGATTCTGGCAACTCCAAGAGTTGTATTCCACCATATCATTGAGACTACTCTATCTCGTTACAATAATAGACTAACCATCCTCCTGGCAGGGTGGATTTATACAGAGATCTATGAAAACCAATACAACAAAGATGTAACTGAAATGTTTTCTTACCTTTAGTACTATCAGCTTCTAAAGGTATTCTGTAAGACAAGATTTTCACACTAATTATCAATATGCATTTTCTTATTTATCCAAGAAATCAGAAAACATATTGATACAATTACTGAATACAACTCAAAGGTTATCCCCATGGACCAGAGAGGGACCAGAACAGGATAGCAGGGTAAGTACTGTCTTGGTAGCACACAGTAGCTAACAACTACTTCCTTAGGAGTAACATAAATATCTCATCCAAACTGCCCTTCTTTGAACGTGACTACTACCATTCTGGTCAATCTGAAAGACATTGCAAGTTCTTAGTTATCCTGACTTCTCTTCCACATATACACAGGAACTAAAAATAACTGGTACTTCTTGTGCACTTTCTGTTGGCTCAGAACATGAATCTGAACCCTCACTTACTAATCATTGATACTGTCAAATCCAACACCTATACGGAACTTTTAATTTCAGGGAAAGGACTGCTGTAATTAAAATAGTGTGAGCACAGGTTGTTCCCACTAGCTGTGAGGTCTTTGCTTGTTAAGGGTTTTCCTTACCATTACTACTTGGCACCTATGGCATCAGATATAAAAACATCATAATTTTTAACACCTAATTAAGCAGTGTTTAATCAGGTGATATTAGTCATAGTGGTAGCCATTAAAAATAAAAAGGGATCAAGAGATTTATGATAATAGTGTTCCAATTAAGCCTCAGCCACTGCTATTCACTGGACTAAGTCAGCAGATATCCCAGGGAGGCATCCCAGTAAAGCAGCTAGTGTAATTAAATGGAATATTTTATATATTGTATTATATTGTATTTTATGATAATGAGAAGATTAAATATTGGCTTATCTGCATACTGGCTTTTCTGATGGACTGTGATGGAAAGCAATACTTATGTTTTTATTCCATGTGGTTTTTGACATTTTAACCTATGCATGAATGACATGGAACCAATGTCTGATGGATTTGGCAGAAGTTAGGCAAAGTATAAACAACTATGGTGTAAAAACAAAGAAAAGAAAAATAAACATCCAAAGATTCAAGCTATGATCAAGAATGATAAAGAGACAGAAATCACAGACCATAATTTACTTTCAAACACCTAGTGAGAGGATTTCAGTGAAAAAAAAAAAAAAAAATCACTTGAAGAAATATTGGGAATTTGGAAACAAAGACAGATAATGTACTATGAAAATAATTTATAAAAATCAGGAAAATATTGTAGAGTTGTGCTATGGGGGATATATCATAGAATCATAGAATGGCCTGGGTTGCAAAGGACCTTCAAGATCATCTAGTTTCAACCCCCTGCTCTGGTTGCCAACCACTAGAGCAGGCTGCCCAGAGGCGCATCCAGCCTGGTCTTGAATGCCTCCAGGGATGGGGCATCCGCAACCTCTCTGGGCAACCTCTTCCAGTGCCTCACCATCCTCTGAGGGAAATTCTTTCTCCTAATTTCTAAACTAAATCTGCCATGTCTTAGTTTAAAACCATTCCCACCTGTCCTATCACTATCAATACATGTAAACAGGCATTCCCCCTCCTTTTTATACGCTCTCTTCAAGTACTGGAAGGCCGCAATGAAGTCTCCCTGGAGTCGTCTCTTCTCCAAGCTAAACAAGCCCAGTTCCCTCAATCTTTCTGCATATGAGAGGTACCTCTGATCATCTTAGTGGACCTCCTCTGGACCCATTAAAAGAGCTCCACATCCTTCTTGTGCTGGGGGTCCCAGGCCTGCATGCCGTATTCAAGGTAGGGTTTCACAAGACCAGAATAGAGGGAGACAGTCACCTCCTTCTCCCTACTGGCCACCCCCTTTTTAATGCAGCCCAGGACATAGTTGGCCTTCCGGGCAGTAAGCATGTACTGCTGGCTCATGTCCAGCTTCTTGTAGAGCAGGAGCCCCAAGTCCTTCACCACAGTTCTTCTTCTCCCAGTCTATATAAATATCTGGGATTGCCCCAGCCCAGGTGCAACACCTTGCACTTGGCCTTGTTGAACCTCATTAGGTTCTCATGGGCCCACTCCTCCAGCCTGTTCAGGTCCCTTTGGATGGCATCCCTTCCTTCTATTGTGTTGCTCATCTTGGTGTCATCTGCAAACTTGTTGAGGTTGCACTTGATTCCATTGTCTATGTCATTGATAAAGATGTTGAAGGGCACCAAGACTGACCCCTGAGGGACAGTATATGGAGAGTAAGTGACTGGTGAGAAGAGTGCACAAATCTCTGTAGTGCCAGATGACACTAAGACATTGCAATTATCTAAATATATATCTTGATAGATTTTCTATTTTCTCTGATGAAATATATATTTTTTATTAAAACAGCTATTCTGTAGTTATTGATGAGAGTGGTAAAAAAGCATAGAGATAGAAAGAGCCTTTCATCTACAGCCTTTCACCTACAGAAAAAAAAAAGTTACCTCAAGTCATTCTTGTGCATTCTTAAGAGTATAATTCTTGAAGCAGAACTGCAAACCAAAGAACTAGTACAAGGGGAATAAAGGGGAATAATCACTTCCCTCAATCCACAGCCTACATGCCTGCTATTGAAGATGCTTTCAACCTGTATCCCTGCACTACTGATTCCTGCTCAACTGACCATCCTTAGGGCCTTTGTCACAAAGCTGCTCCCTGCCCAATCAAGAACGAGACTGAAATCACCACCAAAGGTTTCCCCTTCCCTATGGCAGGACATTTTATCTTTCCTTGCCGAATGTTACGTTTCCTGTTGGCCTATTCCTCCAGGTCCCACTTAATAGAAAGGAACCCAGCCCTGTCCTCCTGAAGCAATATGAATTGCTTCCCCAGTGTGCTGTCATCCAAAAAAAAAAAAAAAAAGGGATTGACATTGACTTCTATCTGCTCTTCCATGTCAACATAAGATCATAAGATATCGGACAGGTCCCAAGGCAGATCCATGCACTCCTCCATTTGTAAACATCCTCCAGGTAAATGACAAATCATTAGCCTCTATCTACCCTTTCACAATACTGTTTCAGCCAGTTTTTCCCTTTATCTTGACTCTGCTGTTCCATCTTGGGTGAAACATCAGAAACTTTGCTAAAATTAAGGTAGACAACATCTACTGGCCTAACTTCACCCAAATCTTCAGTCATTTCCATAGGGAAGGAAATTACATGTATCAAAGCACACTTTAACAAAGCACACTTGCTTTGGGATTTCTCAACATATCCCTGACAGAATCTTCTTTTACTACTGGCAGTTAGTTCCTCTTGTCCTTGAACCCCAATTTCCAGGTTCATCTTGTCCTTGAATCCCCAATTTTCTGGGATTTCTAGTCAGTGAAGAATAACACAAAAAATGCTTGTGTTGAACTCTAGTCCCACCCCACCCCACCTTTTTTTTTTTTTTTTTTTCCTCCCCTCAGACTGTGGGTACTTGTGCACATACAATTGAAGTGTCTTATAATAGAAGATAAACAGAATCTCAGCAAAGGTGCAGCGATACTCAAAGTCATTTTTACCTGAAAATATATCATTTTATTGAGGAGTTTTCAAACTGAGGTTTTAAAAACAGATACCAACCCCTAGAACATTCTATTGACTCTTGTTTATTCTTGAAATGTCAAGGGAGTTGCTCAAACTTTGAGGAAGTTATCTTCAAATTTAACAGCTCCTAATGTGCCACATACCTCTTCACACTCCAAAATTAACCTGGCACACGTAATCCCTGCATGCTTAAACTCCCTATAAAGCATTCAGTGTAGATGTGCTCAAGTCCAGAGAGTCTTATTTTTTGACTCTCATTGAAATTTTTGGCTCACATTCAGAAAACTGGGAAATACTTTGCTAATCATTATGCTTCATTAACAGCAAAAGTACGTAGACTTGCAATGAAATCCATGCCAATTAAACTGATTTTATATATATTTAAATGTTTATTTTTTTAAGTATAAAAATGTTCAAATAAGCTGGGCTTACTCATATTAGTAATGACACGTTTTCACCAAAATAATTATTTCAAATTTGAAGGCATAATTTTTAAGCTACAGGAATACAGAAAAACACAGATATTAGAGCTGAAGGAAATAATATGTATCACGAAGATTTTCTAGATTTTTCATTGCAAGTCTGATGTTTTTGTATAGACATCTATGGATGAACATGCATCTTACTAAATCCAGTAATTTTTATGGTAAAATTTGGGTTTGGAACATGTTCAGTGCTGAAAATTATTATTATTTTTTTTTTTTCATTGTAGGACTCCAATGGAGATCACTTTCTAGCTGAGAACTGGATAACTGACATTTTGGCAAGAGTTCTGGTCGCAGTCACAAGTAGGTGTTTCAAACAATAAACTTATTTTCTATTTTAGGGATAACAGTGAATTCACATTTAATGCTAAGCTTTTTCCCAATTTGCTTATCTTTGAGAAAGAATATGAAGGTCACAAAGTCACTTCAAGTTAGATTCAGGCAGGTAAACATTGCATTGTTTGTGTAGAATAACCACTAACACCTGTAAATATACTCGATTATCATAATAGAGGTTGGGTTTCCAGAGGGCGAAAAAATATGTCAGTGGTGTTAAAAACTTCTTAAATCTAAAATAAAGAAGAAACTCTACAATATACCTCATGGAAGACTACAACCTTATTCTGAGTAACTCTTTTAGTATTCAATAAAGACTGACATCTTATACAATCTTACTTCAATTTTATTATGTTTGTGGGTTTTGTTTGTTTGTTTAAGGGTAGATATATTAAATATTTCCTGAAGGCAAGTTTAGCTACTGTTAAATTCTGAATTGAAGATCAAATCCCAGTAACAGTAAAAATAACAAGTACAAAACACACAAAAAAAGTAGTTTTAATTTAATAGTATATACATTATACTATGTTATGTATAAAAGTATATAAAAGTGTCCATTCTTCCTTACATGGAAAAAAAAGCTGAGGTAAATTCCAAATATAATTAAAACAAATTTCAATATCAAATTTCATTATCATATTCAAATATTATATTATCATTATCATAAAAAATCAATACTGGGCCTATTTAGTTTTTTATTTCTTGCTCTCATCTGAAGTAAACAATCTTTCAGGATGTATTAGACATAGCTAATACTAATACTAATAAGCTAATACTTATGCATAGTACGGAACAACCTTAATGCTGCATTAAATGCATGTAAATGCTGCACGTTAAATCACATCTCAAGGGCAAGATGTAAACTACATAAAAGAAGAAAAGGGGCAGATTGAAAAGTTGAAAAACATAAATCATACAGTGAAGAACTCATCTAGAACAACCTGCTTTGGAACAGATCTAAATGATTTCTCATGAATTTTTATAATGATAACATATCCAAGATTAATCTCTCCATCCTTTGAAAGTCTGAGGTATGTCACTATGAATAGACTTGGTTACTCGATCTTATCTGCCCTTTGGAATACACATTTTTGTGTATTCACTTCCCAGACACTATATCAAATAAAAAATACCACCTGGAATAATGTTCCAGATGCAATTCACTGTATTCTCTTAAGAAGTGTTGAAACTGATCTGCTACCTAAAGAGGAAAAGGTTATTTTCTAAAAAGGTCTGTATGTATTAATGTATAATCAATGAAGGACTAAAGAATGTGCGTTCTAAGTCCAAGGCATAGTCATTACTCATTAAGTAACCTGAGACAACTTAGTATTCATATGAAGATAACTTTCACAGTAATGTTACCAAATTTTAAGCATCTAATATACATGTAATTTAAACAGCAGGATAGGTTATCAGTTAACGTTGGCTCCTAAACATTTATATTGGCATTTAAATCAATATAGTAGTTATTTAGAATATAGCTATTTTCATCTGACAGGATTTAGAAAAGAGTTATATATACTTATTTGAGTAATAAAGTGAGCCTGCTGTACCATTTGATATGAATTTGAATGAACACGGAGGAAAAGATGTTTACATACAAAAAAGCTGATTTCTTTTTTAATAAAATGAAAGAGAATATTTCATTTTTATACATAACAAGCAGAAATCTCCCTTTGTAAAATCACTGTAGAATGTTTTATCTTTCACAAATTATTCTTTCTGGAACTCACATTGTTGCTGGTAGCTGCATTATGAGTTGGATGGAACTTGCAGCTTTAGAAAGATTAATCGTTTGAAAGAAATCTGATTTTTCTAATACATTCTTTCTTTCCTCCCCCAACATGCTAGTACACTCCCTAACTCTCTTGATATCCTGAAGAAAGACAATTACAACTTGAATTATTAAATAAACACTGATTTATCACAAAACCTCTAATGGAGTTTCATTGATCTCCAATTTATAACAGCAATATATCACCTAGGCCCAACAAGGGTTTGGCCCCATAAAACAGAAGTGAATACTGATATACTAAATATATCATTTCAGGGAAAAAAAAATGCAGATACTTTAACTTACTGAGGCTGATTCTTGCTATACACTGAAGATTCAAGGTCACTTTCAGAATAGAACATATAGTCTAACTACTACACACCTGAGTTGTCAAAATGCAAAGTCTGAGCACTCGAGTAGGACAGCATCTGAAAACAAGTGTTAATGATTGGCACTGATTAACTAAAGCATCTGACAGATAAGAATCGATTTAGAATACAATCAGCTTCCGTTTCTAGAAGCTTTTCTATTTCTTGGCTTCAGAGGATGAATGAAAAGCAAAACCTTGAAGAAACATGAGGTTCATACTTAGCTGATGTTATTTTTGACTTTTTTTTTCTATTGCAAATAATGTAAACAAATAATAATAAAGATTAAGTTACATGCAAGCTCAAAAAAGAGAAGGAAATGTTATAGTAAAAAAAATAAAATATTTGAATGCCATTGGCATTCTTTCTCTTAGACTCCTAAATACATTCTTAATATATTTTAATATTTTTTATTATATGTATACCAAATAGTCTGACGCTTACCATGATATTTTTGTGCAGTGGAACTAGCATAGAATTTCTTTAGAGCTGGGTTTGCAGCAAACATAGACTTTTTATTTATTTGTTTGTTTGTTTGTTTGTTTATTTTCCCAGCCACATGCATTCAGACAGAGCTCTAATTCAAGCTGTAGCTCGAGATCCATATCTAATTCAAGCCAACAAATAAAGTAGTTACACACAACTTGAAATACTGGACAGAGTAAAATTATAGTGCTCATTGGCAAACTTGATTTATTAAAATTTAATACACAGAAGTGTGCTGATTTTTATATCTACCTTCTGCATAATGACTTTACATCATCAAAACTTTATCTTCAATCCTATAGAAAAATGAAATCTGCAGGATTTCATTTTGACATTTTGCCAGCTACTTACCAAACTGCTAAGGTGAATGATCTATTTGGCACTATTTACATTATTGCAGGTCCACTGACAGAAGTACCCTAGAATTTCAAAAAGAGCTCTTAAATCTTGTCAGTTCCAAGCTTAACAACAAGGTCTTATAATTATATCTCCTAAGAATACAATAACATGGCATATGTTTAAAAGTAATCAGTATTTCCACAAAGAATTCATCACAGATTTTTTTGACAATAATATAGTACTAATAAATGTACAAGTGAAATTAAAGTGCACAAAAAAAAGTCCTTGTAGTAGCCACTGTATGAAGACTAAAACATGCTGTCCGTGCAGTCTGGACAAGTAGACAGTCTGGCTAAGGAAGATAACTTCTTAAAATAGCTGATGCAAGGGATTTCCTCATGACGATGATGCTTGAGAGTTTTCTGAAATAGCAAAAGGCTGAATACATCTAGCTGCAAATATGTGTAGACACATATCATACAGGTTTCCACTGACTGACTCCAATTTTGCTATCCCTTCAGTTCATACGAAAATCAGAGGTGACAATCTCAACTACTTATATTCAAGAGAGTTTTAGGACAACCTAATGAAAAATATGGACAAGAAAATAATGTTTATATTTGGATTTGAACTTAATTTATGGCATGTTTCTTATTCAAGTGTGAATCAGAATAGGATCACATGTATTCCTGTGTAGACATCAAAGTACTGACACATTCATTTTATGAATGTGTCAATATTTCTGACAGCAAAAGTTCTACTGTTTTCTGCATACCTGTTCCCACCCATTTCCTGAGGAATAATAAATATGTCAAGAAACTCATATCAAAGAATTAAACTAATGTAGATCAGCTTTTTTCAGACTGAGCTATCTGAAAAATTTATACTTCTCCAAAGAAGTACAGTTAACTTGTATTTAAAAAGCATTTAATATTAGTGCTTCAAAGTACAGAAAATAAAGTGAAAGACTAATTTTATAAATCTAAAAGTCAAAACCATGGTAGAATTACCCTATGTATTACTATGCAACTATTTTTATTGCCACTAAAATAATGAAGAAACATTTTTTTTTCCTAGTTCTTCAATCACTGATACATTTTCAAGAATTTAAAAGCATTTGTTTTGGTTACGATTGATAATGTAAAAATGTAATGTAATTTGTTGTTTAATGCATTTGTTGTTTAATGTAGTTTAGCAAGAAAAATTTACATGTACAGCTGGGATCTCTCTGAGTCTAACACAATTGCCAGGTTTGGATAAGGAGAGAAGAAAATGAAGCTAATGTAATAGTACTCATGATTTTTATTGCTTACAAACCAAAATCTTTTATTCTGAGAGATGATAACCATAGTTAGAACGAAATCTTCTATTTGTTTGTTTTTGTTTTTTGTTTTTGTTTTTGGAACAATCCATTTCCTTATAAGAGCTGAGGTCTTTATTTATAAAAGCAATATTATTTTGGGAATAAATAAATAAATAAACCCTTATGGGTATAATGACATCTTCTACAGCATTCCAATATTAATCTTTGAGATGCCCCTGTCTGGAATCCAATACAAAATACTCAAGAACAAGATATTTTAATACGCACAAATAATCTGCTTTTAGTCAGTAGCTCAGTAATATGGTTTGTAATGTTCATTTTATTGTATATAGAAATTCTGTAGAATTTAAAAGAAAAAAAAATGGAATGATCTATCTGTTTTAGGACTGATTTTTAAATATGGAAATGCATCAGTCTCCTTTGAAATTGTAGATTCAAGCTGTAAATATATTTTAAAACTACTATCCAAAAGTAATAACAGCCAAGTGATTTGGGTATCAAGACAATTCTGTGATTCTGTGATTTGATACTAACAAGTCTCTTTTGAAAAGGTGTATCCTTTCAAAAAAATGAGGATTTTTTGAATCCTCATAACCTCCCATCAAATGCACAGAGCAACCTACCTGCAACAGGTAGCTTGCTCTGTGCATTTGATGGGAGGTTATGAGAATTCTCCTGAATTTGTAGGTTTTGTCATCTGGACCACACACAGGACCTTAACTACCAGTAGCCATGGGCACTACCCAGGAGCACATGAAATTCATTTGTTAGCATGAATACACATATAAATATCCTTTCAGTGAAGAAGACTTAATTGGATTGTGACATCTGGATGAAGAGACATGGTATTAATGAATTCTCATCTTTCACTTCATTAATATGAAAATGGACAAAAAGTATGGTTAATACTGTATTAGCAACATCAATATAAAAAAACATGCTGATCATGAGGCATTTTCACAGGACTGTAAGTCTATGCTTGCATTTGACAAATCCAATACCATATTGGAATATTCCATATTGACAAGCCCAATCTTCCGTACTGTTATTTTCACTTCTTATAGTAATGATGTTCAAATTCTATGATCTACTCAACAGAGATGGAAGTAAAATAAAATGTGTCATCTTCCTTGAAGAGATTGATCCAGTTACTGGATCCAAATACTGCACATCTCATTTTCAAGGCATTTACATTCCAAATATATCATAAATAAAAACATTTTGTTAGCCTGTTCTCTTCTTCTTCCTATTTGCCTAAAAAGAAATTTAATTACCTACCTGAAAACCACACAATTTTATGTACTCTGAGGTCTACAAGACAAAACACAAACTCTGTAAAGTCTAATATATATGTGTGTAAACATAGACAGAATGTCATTGGGTACAGAGCTCAGACAGTCTTGATATCTTTGTTTCCAGAGATGTCAATCCTGGGATGGTACAGCATTTTTAAGGCAGATGACCAGATGCTCAGCCGCTGTGATTCCAAACTGATTTCTCTTGGAAGCAGCTACACAAATTTCCTCAGCTGACATTGCCCACCCATATTGTCCAGTAATTAAAATAGTTCCTTGGTGTTATTTTGTATGGAAGTTTTTGAGTAAAGGAATGGTGCTGAATATGGATTAACAACATGAGAGCAGTACGTGTTTAAAAACAATCTGTAAGATCATCAAGAGTGATATACATGGTGAGATGTTTATATTACACCAGGCTCAACTTGTTGCAGTGTTCGAAAATGCAAGAGCAGAGTTCAGATAGCAAGGAGAGTGGTCATCCCACCCACTGTTACCAGAAAAAATTTGTCAAATGTTGGCTAGTAAAGCAAAGGCTGAAAAAGTAGGTGATTACTTTCTCTGAATAAAAATCATAAACCCCCATAACACTGATTAAAATAAACAGGTAAAGTTAAGGGATTATGTTGACACAACCATGAATGTCAGTAAGATTTCAATGCAATAGACCAGAAATTAGAGTGAGGATATTAACTGCATGAACAAAAGATTTAACTCAAATTCATTAAGCCATGTTTTTGATTGCATAATATTACATTGTGATTACATGACACAGCTCCCTTCACAACAAAGACCTCAAACTCAGTCCAAACACATACTTTATGAAGAACAGAAAGGCTAAACAATGGCCAGGAGAAAAATAGAAAAATAAGTATTATAGAAAGCATTATCACCTGGAAGAACTTTATAGTTTTAAATGTAGTATCCTATTGAGGATAAAGAAATCCATTCATAATCTTCATGCAAACATAGTGATATAAACACACTCTATTTGATTTGTTATCCCTTTCGGTATGGTAACCTTCTAACTCTAATCTAAAAAATTTATTTCCCCTTTGACTTTAAAGAGGCCACTGGTGTAAAATTGCAATTTACATGTTAATAGAGGTCTGCTTCAAGCAATGTGTGACCTAGAACAACTAGTCATAAACATAACAAGTTAATAATGACTATATTCCAACAAACATTTAATGAAAAAAAATAAAAATATTAATACCTTCAAAGGTAAAAAGGGACATGCAAGTGGAAAAAGAATTAAAACAACGACAAAAAAAATAACAGCAAACCCTCTTCAAACTATTCTACATTCTTTATTTTGAGCAAGGAAAAAAAAAACAGATGGCAAACAGTGGGAAAGTAACATTTGTAAAAGAAAACAGCAATGGAATATCAGTAAGTGATTGTAAGCAATTTATCAGTCCACGCGAGTGACTTATCAGAGAAAATGTTAATCACAAAATTTTCCACTGATGGTCTGCTGAAGAAATACAGCTGTAACGGGTACATTAGACAATGCACCTTCAAGTGAATAGAATAAAAAGTCATCCATAGTTTTTGTTTGTTTGTTTGTTTTTGAGTTTGGTGAT